ATTAAACAGAAAATCTGAAGCGACCTGCCTGCAGTTCTCCAGCACTACATCTCCTTCAGTGAGCTATCAAATGTGTTTGCCAGAGGCTTTTCCTTACTTCTTTCACTGTATCTTTTGAAATGCTGTGGTATAATCAATGGCAGGGGAAGCACAGAGGGTTTCAGTGGTCCTTGGAAAGGAGATGAGTGCAGGACTGGAAGCAATTACGGCAACAGAATTTATGTCATTTATGGTTTTCAATGGGATGCTTGTGAAAAGGTAACCGGGCTGAAAAAATGACATAAATTATAGTTTGCAGAAAGATGGCTGTCAACCAGGCAGCAGCTCTGTCTCTGGTCTCTATAAGAGGGAGTCTCTAGTAGCCTGCTAGGGTTTCTGTCTGTCTTGTTGAGGTTGGTATTTTCTGTCAGTAAATTTTAGTGTAATTTGGTTGGTATTTTCTGTCAGTAAGTTCTAGTGTAATTCATTTAACAGCATGCTTAAATGGGATGCATCAATTCTAAACCCAACATTAACTTCCAATAGCAAAGGAACATTCTCATTTACTTTTTAGAAAAGCCAAACGTCAATTTCTAGATATATTGTGGATCTTCTTCAAAATGCATTCTTGTTTTGTTTCTTTGCTTCACGTGAACATTTAAATATCTAGGATGCAGGGACAGTTTGGTTTGGGTTTTGTTTTGTTTTGTTTTTTTTTTTTGCATGGGATTGTATGCGTGATGGTGCAGATATTTTGCAGCTTTATCTCAATTTTAAGCTAAATAGGTCTCTGTCGGGGTATAGATATCAGTATCATTGAATAGGAACAAATAATAAAAGACATAATATTACTTTATGAAATTATTTCAAGTAAGCCATGATTTTTGAATGTTCTAAAAAAAAAAAAAAAAACAGTCTAGCCATAGAGTAAAAATTCAAAGTTATATTTATCCATCAAAAATTTTTTTCATCTGCTTCTGGATATTTCATGAGTGGTAATGAAAGTAAGTCCAAATACACTGCTGTGACTTATGCATTTGGTGTACTGTATCCTGCAGAGAAAAAACAATGATTTGATCAGATTTTTAACAAAAAAATATCTGGAAGCTAACCTGGTTGGTTTAGGGATAACAGGTTTAGGCTACAGGAGCACAAGGAGAACAATGCCTAAAATCCGTTTTGCTGAATTGTTATTAAGTTGCTCAGGGAAGTAAGAGGATTATGATAGCACAAAGTAAATGACTTTAAGGCCTAACTGCAATTCAAAAAACCTTGGTTGTGAAGAAGAAAAGACTGATGGCAATAATTTTAGCAAACTCTTTGGTCAAGTAGCGCATAAAAAAGCTCATTTTAATAGATTGGTGGCATGGGTTCTAAGAAAAAACATTAGGGCTGATATTGGTGTAAAACAGACTATTTTCATCACTGGTATTCTTCTAGTTTTGCACTTTTTTTAGGTTTCAGACATTATTAGCCCAGTTATTTATTATATGGTGACAACCTACCTTTAATTTTTTCATGTCAGGGGTTCTGTGATAAGCTGTATTGCTATTTTAGACACATTATTTTCATCATTGTGGCAAATGGCACGTGTCTATTTTAACTGAATCAGAAAGGCAATATATGAATTTTTAAAATTGTCAGAACCATGCTGTTCTGTGGGTGGTTGCATGTGCAAATCAAGAAAAACACAGAACAACAAAGGAACATAGGAATACTTAGCACTGCGGCTTAGAATATGCTCGTATTCCCTTTTGCCAGTGGATCTAAAGGTTGTGTGTGCGTACACGTGCCAGAGTGGGTGTTTTCAGGAGGGAATTTTAGAGACTTAAAGGCCTTTTAAGGTTGCCTGCAAAAGGAAGAATAAAGATTTCTGAACCTGAGTTTCTTAAAGCTTGAGTTTTACACTAAGGAAGGAGTGAGGCTTGTGAGGAAATATTTAGAGCAGCAAAGATGAAATCCCAGTTTGCTCCCGGGAGTGTTTTTATACTTTCTCTAATGGCTATTGAATGTAGACATTGCTTCAGCCGGAAGGGTAAATGAAATGCAAGCCTTTAAGTCAATCTCCTGTGTGATGGCCTTCAGAGGAGATACTGGATAGGTGACCTATGCAAAATTTCGTTCCAGCAGGATTTCTTGTAAAATTCATTCACTTTTCCACTCTATCCTACAGAAATCTTGTCCCTTCTGAGCAATGTCATTTCTATCCAGGTTTCACTGGTGGTTTCTAGAGCGTCCTTCCCCCACCCCCAAATGTAGGTGTCTTTGGAAATGAAACTTAGTTAAAGTGTAAAAGAGGAAAGCTGGATGTGGTGATTTTCACATGGTAGCCTTGCATTTGAGTACTTGCTAAGGAAGCAAGAGAGTGCAGTGGAATTGCGCCCTGGTGCAGTGTTGGCACAGTGTCCTGGTGCTGTGAGAAATGCTTGTTGGTGGCAATGAGCAGTTGGGAAGTGACTGTGACTTCCTGAAGGGGTTCCTAATTTTGCCTAATTCTTAAATGAGGAGGCCAAAGTTAATGATTTTGACCAGTGTAGCCAACCTCGTGAACAAAATGGAAGGCACCTGCAAAGTTGAATTGCCACTGAGGAAGGAATCCTTTTCATTGTAATTTTGGTCTCCAGGGCCTAAATTTTTAAGTCCAATCTTAGGACCATGCATCCTTCTTTGTATGTCACCGTATGTAATTCAGAGCACTGTCTTTTCCTTCAGAAGGACACTGCCGTGCTGTGCTGATGATGTTGTAAACACCCTGCCTAGATGAATATTTCCTCTTTTAACCAGGGCTGGGATCTGTGCTCTCTTATGATCTAAAGCAAGGCCGTTATTGCGGCAGTTCAAGCTGTTAAGAAAATTTGAGACCCTATATTCTTTGCATTTTCCTTTTTTAGCATCTCTTTGTAGCACTTGCAAGGAACATCAAGGTTTGTTATAAAGAAACTCGCAGAAGTTTAGTGTGAAGATGGCTACTTTTTTTGACATAGAACAGAGTATTTAATGATGCTCTGCCACAGATCTATTTATTAAATGGAATCAGATCTGTATGTATGTGTTACTCAGAGATCAGACTTGTTTCTGAGATTTTTTTTTTTCATGCTTTCGGTGTATTAACTTAGGGAAAAACTCTCCATATCAGGACATTTTTGAAGTTTCATCCTACTGGGTCGCTAGCCAGAGTACTTCCAAGTAATTTTGGTGATGTTAGTTTTCACATGTGAACTTTATTTTCATTCAGCAGAGCATCAGCTCCAAAATAAATCTCACTTCTCTAAATTATGTTCAGTATTTCAGGGTCACTTATCCAGTCTCCAGTGCTATCACCACCTACTGCTGTATTAGATTTGAAATACGTTGCTGTTAACTTCCTCAGGACCAGGATTTCACCAGGGGTGTTCTGAGTGCTTTTCTGTTGAGTGAAGTTCACTGCAATTGGAAGGTTTCTAATTAAATGCTAATAAACCCAATATATGTGATTCTCTTAGAGTGACTGGTGTGAAGCCAGGCTTTCTCAGCTAATGCAAATATCTTCAAAATAGGTAGGGATCACCAAAGAGCATCAGTCTCCTTGGGTGGACTGGAGCCTGGTGTACTGTTTTCCTCTTATGTTATGAATTACTAAAGGTGTCATCACCTACTTAAAAAAAAACAACGGTTTTTGTGTTTACACTTCTTCTTATTTGAAATGGAATTTTTTATCATCAACAGCATGCTATTGTTGCTTGGTAAGCAAAGCAAAGCTTTATACAGAATTAATATTTTGCAGACAAAAAAACCCAACCAACCTAAAAGAAAACCAAACCAAACAAACCAAGCATCTAAAGAAGAAAAAAAGTAACCAGTAGATGAGATAAAAAAGATGTGTTTGCAGAAGAAAGCTCCTTGGATGCTGGATTTGAAAAACGAGCAATTATCTGTCTTGAAAGGGGGGACATACTACAATGAGAATAAAATCTCTGCAAACAAAAAGTACTGTAAATAGCATTGATTTAGGCACTGTTCTTTCTCTTCTGAAATATTTTACACCCGAGAAGTTTATTGCACAATATACTTCTGCATGTGTGCGTAATAGTGCACTTCTGTTGCAGTCCCAGGTTCTGTGTTCTTACGGATTTTGGAAATTAAGCCATAGGAATAGGATACTGTCTTACAGTACCTTCCTATTGCTTTGCTGCAGGGACATGTGCTGGACTATAAGTAAAAACTGGTTTGCTCTTTATAAATTAAAGAACAAATTCCTTGTCTTCTATTTCCCTTGTTTATTTCCTTTAACTAGTCATAGGTAGTAAATTAAAAAAAAAAAAAGAAACACCATCATACATTTATGTTGGATTAGCACACTGGAATGGGCAATTAGTGCTTTTATGTTTAGGAGATATTTGCAAATAAGAATAAATCAGGTGAAATTGTGTTGGTAGGTAAATCTTGGTAGGTGAGACATTGCCATTGAAAAGTGAGGGTTGAAGTAAAGAATTTTGCTTGACATTCAAAAATAGGCAAAACCAAAATTAAAATCCCACTCATCCTACACTAGAAAAATCGATTTGGGGGGAGAGGGAGAAAGTGTCATGTCGAGGGGAATACGCTCAGTATATACAGTAATTTGTAGTACCATATGTCTGTGTGTACTGTTTGGTTTTTACTCTCTTGCTGGTGGTGTAGGTTGAGGTTCTGTTGTACAATCAGCAGTTTCCCATTTTCTTCTCATCCCTCAAAGATTTTTCAAAAGTCTCAATACTGACAGTTTAAGGAACAATTTTTGTATGTGTGCTGTATAGCTTTTGAGTTTCTTTGTGACTGCTTAAAAGGTTATTGTGCTGGAAAGTCTTTTTGTTCTATCCTAGCTATTTTTTGTTTGCTGTTTCTTTTTTTTCATTATGCTAAGTTTCATAATAGGATCATCCGTACAATGTTATTCATTTTTATAACTGGATTGTAGTTCTTAAATGTAAGCCAACACCAGTTAGTAGCTGTTCACAGTTTTACTTGGCTGAGAGCCTTTGACAAATATGGTGCTTTTTTAGGCTGAACAAGACAATGGCCATCCTCTTCCTGCCTTTGCCAATCTGCATATCGAAGTCCTTGATGAGAACAATCAGAAGCCTTACTTCACGAAATCTACCTATGAGGGCTTCATCCTGGAATCCTCCCCGGTGGGAACGACTGTGTCTGATAACCAGAACCTGACTGCTCCACTCCAAATCGTGGTGTTGGACAATGATGTGGAAGAGGTATGTTTCTCGTTCTTTTATCCTGTCATACTGGTGTTTACATTTGTATTATTTTCAGAGTTCTTTCTTTTTACATATTTTTTTATTGAGACAAAACTATTCAGATCAATAAATAAACACCTCAATGTAATTGTTACAGTTTCGTTTTTGTTTCTGTTCTGAATTCAAATAGATTTGAAAGCATGTCTGAACTGAAAAACTAACCTGTCTTTTACTCAGCTCTCCTTAAGATTGTGTTCTGTTAGAGACGATGGATGCTTAGTGTGAAGAGGAAAAAAAAAATGCATTTTGTGAGAAGGATGAATCTGCCACACAGTGTGGGGAAATGGGAAGAAGAAGCTCAAAGTGGAAGGAAGTAGTAGTTTGAACAAACCTGGAAGAATGGGAGGGTAGGAGACCAGAAGTTCAATCCAGTCTTTGCTCTGCCTGGATTTTGATACTAACATTACTCATAGTAAAAATTGGGTATCTTCCAAAGAATAGTAACCCAGCAGTAATGATCAGCCTCATCGCTGGGTAGAAGTGCTCTGTGCAGTTTCCTATCCCTTTGGCATCACCTGGCTCATGCCAGCCCAGCTCTTCCCAAGTTTGTGGAATGATGCAAGTGTGTGTGAGGGAGGAGATAATCTGATGTAACTGCCTGGCTTTTAACAGCTGTGTCAGTGATTCGTGTAGTGCTTATAACCATCTTGCCCATCTTGTGGGCATGAGACTTCCAGCAGAGCAAGGCTGGGAGTGCAGCAATTGTACAAAACTCATACGAAAAATGGCCAAACAAGGTGAAATGACAGGTACCTTCTAACTGGGACTAGATAGTAGCTCAGGGGTGTTAGTAAGCACAGGTAATGCTTGTAACTTTTGCAGGTCTCAGTGTTCTGATGGCTTCATTGTCTTTTAACGTATTTAGTAAGTAGAGAGTGCTGATGAGAAGTTGACACAGATCCTCTACGTGCTTGTGCATGTTAGTTTCCAATAGTGACACTGGCTAAACATGATGTATTCAGACTTCTAATTGACAAATTGGTTGAGGTTATATTTCATAGTAAAATAACTCCCTGTATTCAGATAAATGCATGAAGAAATTGGTCGTCTTAACTGTCTGTCTTAAGAAAAAACCAAAACACATTCTAAATGTAAACCCAGTGAGAACTACAATTGGGTCCTGCTATAAACCTTCCAAAAATTAATTTGTAGATGTGTCATTGCAAACAGACCTTTAACTAGAGCAGCACTGCCAACTGCTGATATAATTAAGTGGTCTGTTTAAATGGCATAAATTAAATAAAGACACACGAGTACCTTAAGACCTGAGTAAACCAGAGCTGAGATGAGGAATTCAAACAGCGTGATCTGATTGCTGTTAACATTAGGCTTCCTGAGCCGCTTGCTTCCTGACTCTTTTTGCTTCCGTGGGAGAGTACTGATTTCTTCTGCTCTGGTGGTTAGGCTTGGTGAAAAAGCTACACAGTAACCAGCTTACTGCCTTGTATGTCCAATCTTGTTCAATCTCTCTTAAAAGAAAAAACAAAACCAAACAAAATAAACCCCAGGATTTAACTTCCAAGTTGAAAGCAGCTGATCGGCATGCTTATCCGTCACATACTGCTCAACTGCCAAGGTGTTTACCAATACCATATGCAGTAGCTTGATGAATGGACTCAGAGTGCCAGGTGATTTGTGCATTGCTCATTAGAACACAGAATTGATGTCATGTTTATAAGGTGTGCCAGCATGTGTTCCAAAGCATTTAACATGTCCCAGCATGCATTCAGAAGACAACCTGTGCAGTAACCCTGATGCTTCTGCGGATGTCTGCTGCCCAGTGCAGCATCTCTGGGCACTGGAATATGGCACAGGTCAGTTACTACTGTAGATTCTTCAGATCCTTTTCTACCAGACTGATTTCTTGGTTTATGCTTCCATTGTCTATTAAGTTGAAGTCAAGCTAAGAAGACGGTTGCTCAACATCTGTGTTTCTAGAGAACTTGTGCAAAATTTTAAAGACTTATTATTTTCCATAAAGGCATCTCAGTAGCAATCCCAGAGTACAGAGCAAATAATGGATAAAATAACTTTTAATTGTAACTACAAATGCAGGTTATGGATTTTCAATGATACATACAGATAAGGAAAAATGATGGATTTTTTTATCTAGGACTATGGCAGCATTTTAAATACTGAAGCGTTTTTTCCTAATACTTGCCTGATTGCTTATATCTTTCACTGTTATTGTTTGAACTTGTTTTGCAGCCGATATTCTCTCAAGAGGAGAGATCTCATAGTACTGCTATCACTGTATAGCACTTCTGTGACGCTCTAATAGTCCCATTACAAAATAATAATTCAGGAAATATTCTTCCCAAATGCAGCACCCCATCAATATCATTACTGAAACAAACAAAAGGGAAAGTCGAAGCAAACAGGCTGCTTCTCTTTAGAGAGAGAGAGGTTTTTTTTTTTTTTCTTTTCTGCGTCTTTCTGCTTAAGAAGAAGAAATAAAAATCTTAACATGGAATCACTACCGTAGCATTGTGTTTCTTCCTTTATTTGTGTAGGATGAATAGCTAATGTTTTATGCCTCTCTTTGAGTTCCTTGGAGTCCTCAAGGAATCTGTTTTTTGTTTATCTGCCCTGTTTTAAACAAATGCTATTGCTAAATAGTGGAAGCGCTGAAGGTGGTGACATTTATTTCTTGCCCTCTCCCAGGAGTGGCTCACTTGCATGAGGAACAGAAGATGATTTTTTGAAGACTTTTGTGTTGGTGTTTCATTCAGAGAGGGGCATAGGTCCTTTACATGTCAACTTGAAAAAGTCTAGGAAGTGTTGCAGCACTTCTTAGTGACTGATGTAATGGTTGTGCTTGTGCCTCAGTGCAGGGGCTGGGGAGGATTTGGTGGTGACTGAAAGAATTCAGAATTAAAGCACTGCTAAGCATCCTGGCTCTCTCATTAGTCTTTTGACATCTTTTTCTCCAAAGTAGATATGACGTAAATGGCGAAGAGCTTTTTTAAAAATATTTTAAATTGTACAGGTAAATATTATTTAAATGAACTCACTTTAAAGAAAAAAAATGTTGAAGGAGAAAGTTATTGATAGAGTGTCCTCGGCAAAGTGTTCTCAGACTGGTTTAGCTCCCCTGGTTTTTCAGTTGCTCAGAATTTAGACTTGATTTGTTCTCCTCCTTTGGTTCTGTTCATCTAACTGATTTTATGACTAAAGCCATCATGAACACTTCTCAGGAGGCTGTGCTTCAGATCCTTTTTCTGGTATCTAATGGTAATGTTAAAGATGCAGGAAATTCACTCCAGATGCTGTGTCTGCCTTGTGGATTCCATCTGAGCTGTTGGGCACCTGGAGGAGCACCTCATCGGGCCCTGCAGAATTAATCTCACACAAGTTAGAGAAAAGCAACGAGGTCAGTGCCAACATGATCTGACTGCAAACCCTTTGTCAGTGGGACTGAGAATCTCACTTGCCTCGCCCCTGCAAGACTGTGAATTGCAGATTTTTTCAACAAAAGACACAAGTGGAAAAAAATCTCTACTTACACCCAGAAATGAAGAGGGCAAATGCTGGAACTGTGTCTTCAACAAAACAACTCTCTTCCGTGGGCATTTCAGTGCTGATCATCCTCCACATGAAGAATGATGGAAAACCAAGATGTGTCATTAAATTATCTTTGTCATCGCTACAGCTTTTTGGAGAGAAGCCTGTGCTAGCTATTCCAGGAGCCCTAAGCAGTTCTGATACTCTTTGAGCTTGTTCTCGCTACCGCAGAGAATTTTAACAGACAAATATATTCCCTCTAAAAAGTCTTTGGGAATGTTGAAACACATAGAGAATATTTGTCATTGTCTGCTCATTCTTAACAATATAATATCATTTCGGTGTAATGTTAGTAAATTGTAGAAAAGTCTTTGTTTTAGGAAGAGCTGTAAGCACTTGTGGAGAAATGTAACATGAACATCTGCACAGGGTTTCAAACTTTCAGGAACTTCTCCAGAGATTTTCAAGCAGAACAAATTCAAACCCAGGCTTTGGAGCACTTTCAGTGGCTCATTTTGTTGTATTTTTGTCTGTAACCATTTTTTTTCCTCCAAATATAGTACTTTTATGATGCCTGTCAGTATCAGTGTTGTGTTTCTTTACCTGTGATCATTTTGTATCACGTGTTTTTCTTTGTAGGTTGCACCAGGTGCCATTCCCGTAGGTATTGGGTATTATTTGCATTATAATGCAAAATTACTTTTTGTTTGAATGGTGTGATTTACTTCTTTCTTTCTCCTGTCCTCCTTCATTTTTCTCTTTCCTGTCGGTGTTTTTTGAGACTGGGACTCACTTGTTTTGTGAAGCCTGCAAAGAGCCCTGTAAACACATTGGACCAAATTAATTTAGGGCATAAAGTTGTACCGTGGTTGCATTGTGATTGCTTTATGTTCATTAAATAATTATCTGTCATTATAGAAATTTTAAGTATTGCAAAAAATATTTTTTTTAATTTAAAAAACCCTACTAGTCAGTTTGAAGTAGATAACCCTTATCAAGTTTTAACTGCGTGCTTGAAATGGTCCTTGCAGGTTGCATGCATACTTTTTTGTGTGGATTTTGATTTTTCTACTTAAAATTACGTGCTAAACAGTTTATCAGAGACAAGCTACTCTACATGACACAGAAACGTAGTCAGAAATCACAGTGCTTAAGTCCAGGCCCCAAAATAAAATAGTAGTTTAAAAAAATTAAAGTATCAGAAATAGCATTGGCAACATAGATGGATTGTTTCTCAAAATTGTATTATCTCACAGTATCTGCCACATAAAATCTTTACAGATAAGTAGAGCAGACTGGTTTTTATGCATAAAATGTGATAAAGGTCTAAAAGCGTAACAATGACAAGATTAAGGAAATAAATTGCTTTGTAAGTCCGACATGCATGGAAGGGAGTAGAAATAGGCATTGGTTGCAGTAAAGGCAATTTAACTTACACTTTAGGATAAAATTTCTAATTCTAGAATAGCTAAGGAATAGGATAGATGACTTTGTGAGTGTATGGGATCTCCATCATTGGTTTTTCTCAAGAACAAATTAAGAAAAAAATACTGTTTGTTAGTGTTTAAAATGGCATGACAAGCAAGAACTGTAACAACTAGACAGGGTTTGTGTAAATTACATTTTTGAGTGACTTTGTAGTGTCTACAAAGTGAACAATTATTGGCAATTACCTTCTGTAATTTTTTATGGAAAAAAGAGACTGCTGTTTGCATTGCTAGCTGTAAAATTAATTTTAATTTTACCGAAAGCTGGCATAGTTGCAGCAAAGCTTTAGGCAATAGAAAACCACTCATTTGGAACACTTTGATATTTCTTTCATGTAGCTTTCAGCAACTGAAATGCTTTCTCATTTAAATCGTATAATCTTAGCCTTCCAAAACGTTTGCTTTAGAGTATTTTGGATTGCTAAAATGAGTTTATTTTTTCTCCTTCTGTTGTGCTAATCTGTCCTCGTAGCTTTTCATTATGACACTTGGTGCGTGTTAGCGTTGGCTCAAGTGTTCATGCCTGCTGTACCGTAGGTATTGGTGAACTTCCCAGTGCTCTGCTTTCTTTTTTAATTATGTAGGAATGACAATAATGACAGGGTAGGAGTTAACCTTCTAGAAGTGTTTTGGATTTGGGCTGAGCAAATGTTCAGAGAAGGACAACGTCATGCTACTTTTTGGATAATTTGTTGAATTTGTCTATTTCTGATTGTGTTGCATGTCCTAGTGTATGGGACAGGTTCTGTAGAGTTATTTTGGAAAGTAGCTGATAAAAGTACTTGTGTGGCCGCTGGATTTTCTATTGTGTTTTATTCATGGTCTCCACATTGTTTGGGGCAGTTCAGAACAGTTTTAATAGGACTTCTCCCCCAGCCTTATGTGTTTTGCCCCATCACATTTGCATTCTTCTTTTGTAACCTTGCCTCATCTAACAGAAATAAACTCAATAACTAATGACCGAGAGCAGCACATTAAGTCAGGTTACATTAACTATATTACATACAAGTACACAGAAATGTTTGCTGGAATACTGTTGGCAATAAAAAGTATCATAGTTTATTTAAAAATTTAATTGTAGCATGGAGTGACCCTTGCAATCTAATCAGTTTAATAATTCAAAGACATCTTTAAAGAGATGGGGGAATATGTTGAGAAATTTAATCCTGGTTACAATTCATGTTTCTGTCATTTCAACAACACAGATATCCCAGACAAGTGCCTTAATTTGTGGGGCTTTTCAGAAGCTTGGAAGTTATTGTTCTAATGAAAAAAACATAATTTAAAACTAGCAGATACAAGTATTTGTTTACCATTGGATTTACTTACTCCATAAGTTAAAGTGTATTTTAATACATTTTTCATCAAGAAGATTACATTTTTAGATCAGCAATGTTATTTTTTATTTAAATAGTTTTGTAGATTCAGTTAGTCACAGTATTTGTACTTTCTGCTTAGTTAGGTTTCACATAAAGCACTTGCATTGAGTAATTGGAAACTTAGTGGTATACATGATGTTATAATAAAATTTTTCTCATATTGTTTAAAGACCAAGGATCCGCAGCTCCATCTCTTTCTGAACGATTACAATGCATTTTTCACTGTGACTCAGAGTGGCATCACCCGCTACCTCACCCTGCTGCAGCCCGTTGACAGAGAAGTCCAGCAGCTTTACACCTTCTCGGTATGTGAAATGAGCTTGAAGGCACATCAGGCATAGTTCAGAGCAAGTGTCAAAAATATATTAGTTATAACATCGTTGTAGATAATTAAAAAGACACAGAAGAAGAAAAACAGTGAAGGATGAGCAGCAGCAATACTAGGGGGGTGGAGGGAGTTGCTAACTGGGGTTGTGTGCTCTTCCAAAATGCCTGGTTTTGGTGTGATAGCAATGTTTTAGAAACCCCTGTGAGCATCATCCCCATGGTCCCAGGCTTGTATCCTGCTCCTCACCACAGTCCCATGACACAGTCTGACTCTCTCTTTTGTACCCAACATGGCCTTTGAGGCCACCTTTGCCTTTTCTCATCCCGTGAGCTAGGAACGTAACACTTGTAATGGCCTTTCTGCTTTATTTTAGTACAAAATAAAAAAGGATGCTAACATAAAGCACAGCCAGCAGCATTTAAAACAAGAAAAAAAACCAAAACACTGAAATGGACTTAATACACCCTCAGGCATTTCCCAGTCTGTGAGTAAACATTTTAACAGCCCTAAAGCAATTTGCAAATGTGCTGTTGGGAAACCCTGTTCCTCTACAGGGCTTTCCAATCAGTGCCTCCTTATTTTCTGTCTGTTTACTGTCTGAAAGGAGAGCTCAGATTTCTTCTATGGAGTAAAAAGGCATCTAGGTTCTTTATGTCCTCCTTAAAATGCTGTATTTGAGGTTTAACATGTGTACAGCAGCTCCTGGAGGTGGCTGTGCCCAGGTGAGACTTGCAGAGTTTGGCTTGTGAGCTCTTGCAGCCTGCTCCTTGAGGGTGTTCAGCACAGCTGGGGACAGGCTCTTCCCTTCCAGACATGGACTGCAGCTCAGATCCCACCTGCAACCCTGGGAAACCGTTATTCCCTCTCATTTCTCCTGCTGATCTGCCACAGTATGTTTTAAAGGCATCGTTTCATTTTTGCTCTTGCCCTGAGCCTTGCACACTGCAGGCTCAAGCTCAGCTGAAGCCTCCTCTAATTGTAAGTGCAGACAAAAATGAAAAATGAAATGCTGGTTTTTGGTTGTCAGTACTGTATTTTCTCATAGTTGGGACTGTATTAAGAATACACCATTAAAGTATATTCCTGTTCTGCTTTTTTTTCCTCCCCTCCTGAAGATGACAGCTTCTGATGGTGTACAGGAGAGCGCCCCTGTGACAGTCAATATCCTGGTGATTGATGCAAATGATAATTCCCCAACTTTCTCCAACATATCATACAACGTCAAGATTTATACAGATATGAGGCCTGGGGAAGGAGTTATAAAGGTAATTTCAGGTCTTTTTGTTAGCTTTGTTAACTCACTCTTTGTTAGCAGTAGACAATCTTGTTAATACGAATTGGAAGTGTACTGAAAACAGATAGAAATAAAGTTCGTGTCTCTCCACCCACTTCATTAGTTACATAGCTATTAAAAAGTTGCTGATACTAAGTGATAGTTCTGTCTTAGATGAATAGCTGCAGTTCAGCTTTTTCATCTGAAGTTTTACAGAACTTTAAAATCTGAAAAATCTCAAAAGAAAAGCATATTCTCCTGTATTCGTGGGATATTGAAATAAAATATTTTGGGAGAACAGGTAAACAGTTTGGTAGAACATAACCAGAAATGTTTTACTATGTCATAAAACCTTTTATTTTTTTTACAGAAGCCTAGAGCAGTTTGTTTGTAGAGCAAATGAGCAGTGAAAAATGTGTTGAACACAGGCCCAGAGAGAGAAGTGGTTTTAATTAAAGTTTGCAAGCACTGATTTATGTTCCAGTGCAGCCTGGAGGTGAATCCTAGTTGCACTGAAGTTAATGGAAAAAGGCTTTCTTTGGGTGGTAATTCTTCTAAGATCTCAGCTGTGCTTCTGAGTGCTTCCAGTAGAGATGGATGAGAAGACAAGATGCTGTTAGTGGAGGTCCACGTTCAAGGATGGTAGAAAGCAGTGTGGGTACTGGAAAAAAAACAAATTAATCAGCTGACTTAGGTAACAAAATACCATTTTCTGAAATATAATCAGCAGCTAAGCATTTGAAGGCTGCAGTGGTTTAACAGTATTGGAAGAGAGTTCGGTGGCTGTTCTGGCATATGCCCCACTTGAACTGTATTGATGTGCTGCATTTATTGCCTTTGGATCTTCATTACTGTTATGCTTGTCTTTTCATCAGTCTGGGCTACAAGTGCTTAAAAGCATTAATGAGAGCCATGAGGACATTTTCAGCAAGATTTGAGGGAAAGATTAAAGTTTTAAACATAATTAAGTTTCTTCAAGCTTTGCACAAGGCTGTGTGGAGGGAAAAAAAAGACAAAATACTGTTGTTCTGAATGAGCTAAAGTGGGTAGAATTCAGGAGCTGTGCAAAGGGTTTGAAATCAGGAGCTGTTTGCAGTATCTCAATAAACTCCTCACTCTCTGTATAAACATGTGGATTTGGTGAGTACAATACATTCACTTGATATTTAAGGTACAGAGATACATACAGGGCTGAAAAAATTTAAATCATGCATAAGCAATCTAGTCCAACAGTAAATCGTTAGTGTTATCCCATGGCCTTTGTTTTGCAACGCATCAAGCAAAGTAGTGTGAGTATCTAAATGATTTTTCCTCTTAAACGTGTGTGTACCAAGAAACAGGAGACAGAAGGTGTTGCTAAATGAGATGGCAGCATGTGTGAAAAGAATAGTCACAGTACCCCAGGTTGGCCTTACAGATGCTCTGAGATACCTGAGTTGTATTTATAATATTTGGGATGAAGTAGAGCAGCTCCTGTGCTTTTCTAAAACAGCCGCAATGCTGAAGGATGTCTGTGTTCAGAGGGAATGGGCTGTTCTGAAGATTTATACTTCCTGGTGTTTCAGATGCAAATATTTTCAGATCTTGGAGGTGTGCAAAGAGCAGGAGTACAAATTCCTTAGGAAATTGTTCCTTCTGGGAAAAAGCAAGAGGGCGGCTCTGCAAGGCCATCTGCATTAGCCTGTGCCACCAAGATGAGCTTAGTGGAGACACAAATTATTTCTCTGGGGGCAGGTTCAGTCTGAGAGACTGTTCTGTTCTTGCTCCTCCACTGCCCATTGCAACAGGTATCTTTTGCCTTCCCACACTGATGCTGTGTAACTGCTTACATAAAGAGCATCCATCAGATCAATAACATTAGGCAGATTAGAAACATTTCAAGGATGAAAAAGCTTAAGGGTAGAAATGGTGAGAAGAAAAGTTTAGATGTAAATATTGTGCAGAGTGATTGAACTTAGCAAATGCCTGAAGGAGATCTGTAACTGGTCCCTTCTAGAATGACATTGTGAAGTTGGAAATGAGTAGTGGGGAAGTCAGGCTTTAAATTCGCCTTTGCTAAAGAGTAAAATTATTTTGGAAAACATAAGAGTTCTGAGAGTGAGCATTTTCCTTCCTCCACACTTCTGTCTGCAAGGTCAACATGTGGTTACTGCAGACTGTGAGTTTATGAGGTGGTCAGACATGGAAGGTAGATAATTCTGGCTGGTTTGGGAGATGGGTTCTTTTCCAACTCATCTTACATTGCCAGATGATCTGAGTTTATAAGCAGACTGACATAAAAAAAACTGAGTCACCCTAAGATTTCTGAATACTGTGATAATGCCAGTAGGAATGATTTCAGGCTGCTGGGATATTTGGTAAATTGCTCACCTTGTTGTTTTGCCTGGGCTGCAGGCACCAAGTCTTTCTTTGAGTATTACAGGAGTGTGAGAAATGGGATTTGTCTTCTGGAGTTATGAGTAGCCCCAAGTCCCTGGTGCTAGAAATACCCATGGTTTCCTTAGGCCAGGAAGGTGGATATGTGCTGCCTGATTGCTGTTTGCTTCTGCTTTATAAATGCCTTCTCAAATGGAAAACAGGGGGGTTTTTTTGTTTGGTTTTTTTTGTGTGTGTTTTTAGTGGGGTTTTTTTGGGTTTGTTTTTGGGGTTTTTTTACTGCTAATACAGTGATTTTGACGATATCCTTAGCTGCTTCTCTATATACAGAGAAAACTCATCTTGTAACCATATCTCATCATTGGTTTAAGAATCATTTGAGATGACGATCACCTGTGATAGTTCCCAGAGGAAAATGAGCCAAGTCAGATATGATTAGACTGTAAAATCCACTTTCTCTAATCAGAGAAGGTAGGTTAGAAAAAGAACACTGACCTCAGTGAACCTGTACAATCTCATAATCCTTTACGCATAAGCGCTGGCTTGCATTTAACACTGCTCAAACTTATTTTCAGAGAAGATCAAGAAAGGATTTATTTTGTGAAGCATGTCATCTTTCTAGAAAAATGTGAATTTCTGGTATAGCGGTGTGAGTGCGTTCGTGTAGTTGCCACTTTGCTTTAATTATCCTGAGGGTAATAAGGGGTTATGATTTTTTTCTTTTTTTGCTGTGTGCAGTTGCGTGAAAATCTACAAATAACCTGAGTTTGTACTTGCTTATTTTCCCAATGTGTGGGAAATAGTTTTGATTTTATTCCTGAAAAAAACCCCAAATGTATTTCTTAATAGTTTAAATTGTGTTTACTGTCTGGTACACTCTTAAAAAAAAAAAAAAAAAAAAAGTAAATGAAAAAATCTTTAGGCTCTGCTTGAAAATAAACCCAAATAGGAGGGAAAAAAAATAATCATAAGTGAAATTAAGTTTCTTTGTTCCAATTTTTTTTCCCCTCTGGGTAGTTAAAGCAAGGCGTTTCCTTCCTTTGCCTGTTGCCTTTAAGAGAAGTGAGCAAAACAGGGGAAACAAATTTATGTGCTGCTGAGTTGCACTGGTTTCATCTGGGAGCCTGGTGGGTATTCTACCTTTTACCTTCCAGTTGTATGTGTTAGCTGCAGCTTTGCATGGCTGCTTGTGTGTTTTTCAGAAAGTTGGAGGGTATTATACCCTTATAGGAGCAACCTCCGTCCACTTTCTGAGGATACAGAGCGGAACATGAAATCTCTGCTCCCTGCCTTCCTGAGCAGCGGGAGCTATGGCAGTACCATTGGGCTGTTGAAAAGAGAATTGGCTTGGGAAGTTTTTATTTCAGGTGTCTACTATAATTACTTGTGAGATTGTTTGAGACCTAGACTGAGGAGAGCATTTTCTCAGTTGAATTTATTTGTCTGTATATTCTGTCCCTTTCAGCTTGAGAATTTCTTATCTGAATTTTCCCCCTGCTTTTCTAGACATTTTATTGTGCTGCCTGAGAGGGACAATAGCTGATTGAGAAATCTGTCATTTAAAACAGTTAAATATGTGGTAAATAATAATTATCACTAGAAAGACTGATTAATAATAAACATATTAAAGTACTTAATCCCCTCTTTTTACATTATTATAATTTTGCTGTTCTGTTTTTCTCTTTTTCAGGAAGTACTTGCTTCCTGTGATTCAGATATTTAAAATCGTTGCGCAGTGATGATTGAAGTATGCAGCCATAATACAATAATATTTCACATAAGTAATTTAAATCCACTCTTTCTTTAGAGATCTCTCATTTCTATATACAGCATAAACTATGCAGGGCACAGAGAATACTGAGCACGAAAATGAGAGAGCTAAGAAGGGACACAGGATGGCAAAAACATTATCCACCTCAATCTTTGTGTTAATTTGCGTGAAGGTCAATGACTTCCTTGGCCCATGAAGAGATTTTGTGTATGTTCTCTTCACAGAATAACTCCTGACTTGGCCTTAAGTAGTATATGCTGTTCTTACTCTGCTTTAAATTTATTAAACCACAATAATCTATTTTAATTTATCTGTGTACGTTAATTTCTACCTCATTTCATGTTGCAGAGGTATGACCCACGTTCAAGGGCTCTCTTATAAGAACAATTAAATAACTCCATGATTGAAAATGGAAAACAAGCTATGCAGTGGATTAGTGCATTACCTGTCCACCTTCTGCAAGCCAAAACAATTGTGCCTGAGATCTCCAGTGCAGGTCTATTTGGAGGTCCTGCCCCAGACCCTCCTGGTTACACAGAGCACTTAACTTCACACGTTGCAGCATAAACGGCTTTTGTGCTCAAGGTCAGCAATGAAAGCAAACCATAAAACATGGTGAAACTGCAGGCAGTAAATTTTCTATCACTTATCTCTTGCTCACAGTAGAACTAGGTCTCGAGTAGTAACGGTAGTTTCAGTTGTACATGGGGACAAATTTTATTTAGAGCCATTAAATAAACGCCTCCTTTGGGACTGTTTTGCAGTTACCTCAAATGTGGCTTCTCAGTGCTGGATGACTTTGTCTCTGTTAAACAGTTTCTTTTAATTCCCTTCATACATGTGACCTAGCCATCCTTTTGTACAGACAAATACTAAATTGTATCTTAGAGACATGCTTGGGTATTCGCCACTTGGCATGTGCTCGTGGTTTACAGCTCTTAAACATCCACGTTGCTGTAGAGCCACAGAACAATTTAGGGGAAATCTTTGTAAAAGTTGTCTCCAAACCACACTTAAAGTTTTATTGATGTGGTTATTTGCAACCCTTTGCCTTAAATCCATCAGCATAATGATTTCCAACTACGAAGTAAACATTGGTAGCAGAAGCAGAAACCAAAACTGGGTTGTTTGCATTTCTCAGTAAATGCACTTATATACTCAAGTAAAAATATAATGGATAGAGACTTAATGAAATGTCTGAAGGAAGATACTGAAAAAAATATTTAACCTGCTCTCTGTTAGCGTTACATTTTGTTAGCTCAAGTTTAGGAATATCTCCATCACAATGCTGTTTAGCCCTGACATATAGAAACTCGTTACTGCTTTTCCTGGTGAAACTAATGGACGAGTTGTACTGCTGAGCCCTAGAAGGAAGAGCAGGGTGTGTAATTCCCATCTAAGTTCTCTCAGCACAGCATTTTTCACTGGTGTGCTGCTCTGGAGACCAACTGTACTGTTTTCTTGACACGGGTACGCAACATAAATGTGTACAGAATGTGGCTCTGGAGCCTTGCACGCGCTGGGCTGGAACATGTGTTTCAAGGGCAGCCATTGGGAGGTGAATCCATGTGACTCATGGCTTCTGCAGGATTTGCTTTAGGTCAGGATGAGTCAGACCAACTTTGCTGAACATTTAATTTGTTGAAAAATGTGGGGATACTGGAGAGGTTGGTAATCACTTTATCTGTTTAGGGCAAGGTCACTAAAAGTGTTGCTGCAGAAAGGTTACAGGTCAAATGTTGAAGACCAGTTTCCTCCAAGTGCATAGTGAGTCTGAACAGACCTTCTGTGATGACGAGGAATGTGTCTTCGTAAGCTGTAAGGCCGTCATTGTAAGTCTCCTTTTCCCTCCAAGAAAACTACTACTTGCTGCAGCAGAATATGCACCTATTTTGCAAAATTTTCATACATTAGATTTTAATGTAATGAAGCCCATGCTGCTGAATTAAAAAAGTTTCTTAGGAAAGTAAAATAAATCTTGTTTTGTACTTTTTTGTGTATATTTTAGGCTGTGTTTCTAAAATCTTGTTAACTATGAAGCCCTATCGGTCTGGGACAGCTGGAGACAGAAATTTATAGAATCATATATTATGGCAGCTGTTAAACTTTAATTCTATTTAATTCTGTTTTTTATTCATGATTTTGCCCCCAAAACGTTACTCAAATGGCTTATCTTTTCAAGCATTCAATATTTGTAAGTTTAATTAGCTTTATTAATCTATGTATTTGTGTAGGCAAATAATTTCCTTTTTTATGTCGTCACAGTAAAAACTGGCCTTGTTCCAAACCCTGTCATTAAATACTTAGGAGGTTGTATTTTGCATGAAGCCTTTCTTTATCTTTTTGTGTGTGTGTTACTTTTGAAGTTCAGTAGAGAAGGTTGTTACAGCACTTCTCTTAACTGTGTCAGTTTGATAGTCCCTCCTTGCGAGGTTCATGAACGCGTGCAGTTGTGTATGGAAACTATAGAGTGAGTGATTAAAGAAATGGAGTTTGAGAGGGGTTTAAGCTCTAAACCCTCGGAGGGTGCAGAAAGTCCGTTTTATACGCTGAGTTTTGATGTGTTGAGACTGACCATTGCAAGTTAATACATTGATATTACAAGACATCATATGGGTGGAATGCAAAGCACTTTCCAAAAGGGCAGTCTTCATAGGATGACTTTTTCAGAATTTCAAAAGAAAATAGAGAATGAGATTTGTTTGCTAAAAATAATGCATGGATATTAATTTGTTTTTGAAACTTCTAAGAGGAGGTGATTATCTGTTTCAAGATTTTTTGAGGTATTTCAAGTGTTTATCCTGTGTTCAATATACAGAATGTCTCAAAATTCTATAGGAGAATGAATTCAGATGATTTGCTCGTTCTAGTGCAACAGTGATCAGTTTGCATTGCTGGAGGAAAGCATCTATGAACAAGAAATTAATATAAATTCAGATTAGATAAGTACTTCTGTGCTGGAAATCTGCTTTGGATTTCTGTGCTGTGTGTGAAAGAAGCAGAACACTAGGAGAAAAGTGACTTGACTAACATGCTTTTCAGTTGATGAATACTGTGTACAACCTATTCCATGTTAACAAGGGTTGGTCCTCCATGGAGTAGCTCAGTCTCTACCAGCAGTAGTAGCTTGCACTCCTAACAAAGGTAAACCCCACTTTTGTTAGTATACCTAAATCACTTATCTTTTAGCATTTCAATTTATCCTGTTTAAGCTATTGTGAGCTTAGTTCTTGGTTTTAAGCAAGTTTTTTTTTATACTAAATTTCATGATTCACTGAGCCTATGTACATAAAGAATTGAGATTATCCTTTAAAGAAGCTAGACGCCTGAGGTTTTCAGATACTCCCCTTGGTGTTTAATGTTGTATGCAATTGTGATTAACTGCAATATTACAGCTCTGGGTTTCATTCTTCATCTCGCTTCTTGTTCTAGTGGCAAGGTTAGGTTCCTGCTCTACGAGTTCTTTAGCTGTCCTTGGGCCAAAGTGCTTTGAAAGCTGTAGGCAGTACTCCGAAAGGCTGTGACCTGTTGGAGGTTAAATGTGATGCTGTATTGATCAATAGATTATATTATATCCTAACATAGCAGAGACTTGAATGGGTTTATCTACCTGTCTGCACTGCTGTCAGCTTCGAGAGTGTCACAGGGGTGAGAAAAGGGTGTCTGGCAGGCAGACGTTTAGCCTGCTGTGTTGGTTGGCCCTGGCTGAGAATAACGTCTATTGATCTTGCCATTGGCCTCACAGTCATCACTAAGGTTTTGTGTCACCATGTGTTACCCTTAAATCCTGGGCTTGCAATCCTACGTGCAGTGCTGCCCACTGGCATGAGTGTTCATGTCAAGAAAGCCAAAGAGGAGAGGCCGGCAGAGACCTTTTAGGAAGCTACACGTCTATTATTTTTTTCATCCTCACTTTAGGAGCCATGCAGGGAATAATTTCTGAGGCTGGGATTTCTTATTGCTTTGTGCATTCCCGGTGGGCTCTGCTGCTGTACCTGCTGGTGCCCCTTGCCATTTCCCACCTCCAGCTGCTCAGCTGCAGGTGGGAGCAGCCGGAACCCATTGTGCCATCATTCCCTGTCATTTCCACTCCACCGCTGTTGGTACTGGGCAGCTGGGTCCACGGGCAGTGCTGCCACTGCCTGCTGTGGCCTCCTAGACATTCAAGTACTGCTCATACTTCTTTATGTCATCCTGTGCACTGTTTGAGGTGACACAGAGTCATACAAAATTAAGAGTCAACTGAGAAACCAGTGTGTGTATCGTCAACAAACTAACCCCTATGGGAAGAAGAAATTCACCTTAGAAAGTCCAGAGTTGCTGGCGTAGTTTGGTGGCACTTTGGTGACTCAACCTTAAGTGTAACAGAATGCTGTGCTCCTTTTTGTTTGCTGAATGTGGTGATAATTAAGATGGAATTTTAATTTTAGGAATACAAGTCAAGCAATTGGCACTGTGAGCAGTTTGCTGTGTGATGATACATCATACATAGACTAACTTGTGTTAGGAAGAGGAAAGGTGAAAGGGTTTAACTTGGACGTGGGGCTTTCAGCTGGCGTGACTGAGGTGTGGATGCGTATTTCTGATTGTGTTACGACAGGGGTCTGACCTGAAATCTCAAGTTGCCAGTTATTTGCTTTGTGGCATGGCAGAGTCATTGGTACTTGACACTTGGCTAAAAGCTAACAAATATGATTACTGAGCCATATTTCCTGGCTGTGGTGTGTAAAAGTTTGGTTTAGCATGGTCCGCTGCGGAAGTGGGATAAGATAAGAACCCCTTCATTTCATTACATTCGTGATTATAATTTGAGTCTAAAATAGTAGCCCTTAGATATTTCTCATGCTCAGAATCAAAATTGAGCAATTATTTAGAAGAAACGCTACACATGAGAGTAATCCCAGTCCCAGTAGGGAGATGATGTAGAGGCAACAAAGTACAGACTTACGCACTCAGTTGCATTTATCTTACGGTCTGAGATCGCCCCCACAAGCACAGCCTTTCAGGTGAGTGGTGTTTTGTTGCCATGTGAAATGGGCCTTGCATGTCCGTGATGTACATGGTTGTGTTTCCTATGCGTGTATCCATAGGGGAACAGCTTCCATTTCCCTTCCACTTGGCTTCTGTTATGGTATGTGCACGTGTGAGTAATATAAACATTGTTCTCCAGCTCCGCACAAGAAGGGCTTGTAAGGCAAGACGTGGATATTGGAATTTCTGGCAATAACAACGCTGTAACTTCGAAGAGTGTAGAAAGGGATGGGAACTTTCAGTGATGAAATACGGTCCTCTTGTTACGGTTGCAGCACAATAACTATATTCTTCCTCCCTCCCCTCTTTATAGGAAGTGTTATAAATTCCAATCCACAGACAGTAAACTTGGTCTTAATTAGTTTTCTTAATTCATATCTTAAAATAATTTGCTTGCAATGTTAGGTAAGCAGTTTTTCTCTGCTTCATGATGTTTTTCCACCTATTATCCTTCACTTAAATTGTATCCTTGTTGTACAGTAATTAGCAATTACTGCATATGTTACAGGTGTTCAGGTTGCCTCTCTACTTCCTCGACAACTACCGAGTTGCCTTACAAAAGACTATTAAAATACAACCCTGAACCATGCGTGCTGACATTCTGGTTTTGAATTGCAGCTCACCGCTGTAGATGCGGACGAGGGACCCAATGGACAGATAGTGTATGAAATTTTGACTGGGGATCAGGGAGACTTCATCATCAATGACCGAACAGGCCTTATCACCATTGCTCCAGGAGTTGTCTTGGCCGTGGGGCGATCCTATGCTCTCACTGTCAAAGCATCTGATAGTTCACCTCCTGCGCAGAGAAGGTAATTAATCTTACATGAAACTAATTTTTTAATCAGTGCTTAGCAGCATGTCAGAAGTGTGACACGCCCTTATGCCTATAACTCCACACTGGAATAGAATTCAATGTGTTCTGTTTGGTGTAACAATCACATTTTGGAAAAGCGTCCTATTAGAAGTCTTTCAATTTCTGTTCCTTATTTGTATTTTCCTTACAGTACACAGTTTTTATTATTTCATTTGTTTGTAATGGTTTGGTTTTTAAAAGTTCACATGTTGTGCTGTCGTGCATTCCCCTTTTTTTAACAAGAAATTGAAGTGAAGGGATGTAAGGAAGAAAGAAGTGAGAGGGAGATGCTTTTTGTTCAGAATGCAGCTTGCTCTGATGCAGGGAGGATCGGAAATAGTCTGGTTGCTGAGCTGGAGACCTTCTCTCCAGGTATAGAGTGTGCAAGGTCATCCAGGCTTGGTATGCTGTGGACATGCCTGACAAGCTCCACCAGTGGTGAGCAGTGACCCCACAAAGAACTGAATTCTAACCAGCGGAATTATTTCTGTTCTCCACCAGCTGATAAAGAAGAGCAGCCTGCAGTTTTAGTACGGTTAGAATAGGATGCTCTCATGTTCAGAAAAAATAAAGGTGTTGAGTCTCACCTGCTTCTTTTGAGTTTGTGTTCTGCATATGGCAACTGTGCACAAATGTCATTTCATGGAGGTATAGGGAGGGGTGCATAAAAGTGGCTCTCATGTTCTGGGCCTGGTATTGACAATGTGACAACCTCATTGTCCAAAGAGGATGACAGAGAGGAACAGTAGTTTCCAGCATTTAAATCTCCCACAACCTGTTCTGTGTTCCTCAAGTAGGGAATGTGAGAAGGAAAGATAACAAAAAAGTGGAATTTCACTCTTTGACTTTTCTTCAGGACCTGCTGTTTCTATCATGTCTCCAAGAAAGCCGCTCATACGGTTCTGCCATATTTTATAATTACGTTTTCCAATTACTGAAGTATTCAGATGGCTAGATTGTTAATAAAACTAATAACACAGTCTAACACAGTCTTGTGGTTGAATTTTCTTCTTTCCCTCTCACACACTTTCTTGATAAACCCTCTCTTAGAGTAGCTGATAGAAGGCTTTTGGTAGTGCTGAGGAGTAGATTGTGGACTATTATGCACTTACGTTTGTGTAATACTAGCATAGTATTAAAGTGGAGGACAAAAATCAATAATGCCACTTCAGAGAGCTTCAAAATCCAGCAATGTGGCCCTGGCAATAGTAGCCCCTACAATACAGCTTTGATGGCTATCAGCTCCTTTTATGTTTGAGAAATCTTTATATTTTCTGTTTCTATACTTCTGATGATGTATGTTGGGAGCATGTGCTTCCTCCACTGCAAATGTCTTTATTGCAATAATCTTCAAAAGTAGAAAAGCTCTCCCTTCTTGTCATTTCTGCTTGTCTTCCCTTTTGTGGAATTACAGCATGTAATTGGCTTCACAGCTTTTAATGTGTGTTCAAAAAACCACTCCATCCAGGCAGTATTACCATAGCTGGGGTGGGTGGCCCCTTGACCTGAGGTGTATTTGGGGCCCAGAGCTGTTTTTTCTGTGTCTGGGGTGGTTAAAAAAATCAGGGGGAAGGGCCGCTGGAGCTTCAGAGAGGTGCCATGGAGAGAGAATATCGACAACTCTTGCTGTCTAGAGTGGGACATTTGGATAAAAAGATTTCACTGCCTTCCTGATGTTCTTTCTCTAAGGCTGGAAAACCAGAAACAAGTTTGTGGTGCTTGAAGCAGCCTCTTGTCATTTTACGCAGAGAAAGCCAGGGAGAGCTCACGTGAGCTAGAGCTCTGACGTCTTTACGACTGTCATTTTGCATCTCCGCAGTTCCTTCTTTCTGGCTGTGAGGTGGTTAGTATCTCGCAGTTGGGGTTGTATCAACTTCTTGCTACTTCTAATGGAAAGTTGTGTTAGGTGGTTCACGTTGCCTTGCTGGAGGTAGTAACCAGTATTTGAGACTTCTAGAAATGGGCTAGGACTAGGCAGTCATTACACATCTGTGCAGGCAGGAAGGTGTGTGCCCTGTAAAATAAATAAATAAAGGATTTTGATGTAAATTCAAATATTATTCGTTTTTCCCCAAGTCTGGATTCCGCTTCAGGAAATACCAGGCTAACTGTAGGCATGTGTAAATTGTCTGGGTTTCAGTTATCCCCTTGCTTATGCACAAAGCAAAAGCAAACTACTAAACCTGGCTCAGGAACTGTAGCTCTGTAGCCTCTGTGAGCACAAATTTAAATTGAAATGTATCCTGTGTAGCTTTTCGCATAGTATGACACATTAAATTCTTGCTGGGTGACTGTGCGTAAAACAAGATTTTTTTTGAGTATTATTAACGTTTCTATCTGTAGCAAGCATCATTAATATAAGTTATTGAGCGTATATTTAAGTGCACTTAAGTACTTTATATATAAGTTTATGCAAAGTATTAAAGATGAAGTTTGGTTTTTTAGAACTGAAGTTGTAGTTAAGCTCACATTGATTAGCAGTTTCTAGTATTTGGAAAAAAAAAAAAAAGAGAAGAGCATTTGCAAAATCAAACAATCTCATTCCAGACCTTAGCCTTTTCACCATCGACCTTGGATTCCTGTAGAGTGGTGCGCGTTACTTAGTGATAACAGTGATCTGCCAGATCAAGTCCAATTTGGAAACTCCCTGATCATGAGATATTGTTGTTCCACATAGTGGAAAAGTACACTCTCTTTGATTTGCGTATGCGGAGATTGTTTGGCCAAAGATATATTGGTCCACATGTATATAAATATATTCATTAACCATTATATACTATAGGTTGTATGTGGAAGGCACACAGAATTAGAGCAGACAGGGACGCAATCTCAGGGGCTTGTTGACCGTGCTTTCCTTGCATTACCACGTAGCTGGAGTAGTGTGAAAGCCGCATTTCCATAATGGTGTGAGTTTGTGAGCACTATTCTGTTCCTGAGCTCTGTTCTGTTCTCGGTATTCCTGTCCCTGCAGTGTTAAAACACCATCTGCCATTGTTGATAGGCTCAGCTCTGTTTCCTTTCTCTTCCCATGCCAAAGTAGATTTTGCCAGCAACTTAAATGGGCTGTATATAACACACACAAAATGAATGGGTTAAAATTGCAAAGCGCTAATCAAAAATGGATTGGAAATTTCTGAAAGTAGCTCTTTAATATTATAGGGATTTTAGTTTGCAGACTACTAGTGTTTTACCTTTATCTTAAAGATTTGAAGAAAATTTGCTTACTACTATGGTGAACATAAACCTTTTTTTTTAAGAGCTTGATAGACAATAAATCAGCATGGGTATTCTTAATACACAGCAGGATTAGGAAAAAACTGATATAGAACAACATATTTTTATTAAATACTCAGCAGTGAAAAAAAATGCACACTAAACCACAACTATTTGGATGCGTATATTGTATACAGCAGCTATCCCAAGTCCTAGTGCTCAAGTGATATTTTATCTGCTAATTCATTGTGTTTGTTGCTGAACATTTGATGATGGTATTTTTTTTTCAGTCCAAAAATGTTAAGTGTGGAACATCAATTCAGAAAGATTAGTGGGATATGAGGGAGTATTGTAAAATAGACAAGAAGACAGGAAACTGAGTGTGTAAGGAGGCAGTCTCATTGAGTGATCAGCTTCGGTTGTAATTGTCCGTGTTCCCCTGATTACACTGGCTTTATATTGATTGAGACAGTGATCTGCAAATTCAGCTTCTTAAATGCACAAGGATGTGATAGATGCGAAGGCTGTGTCATTCACTGATGCATTTCAGTGCAAGATTGATGAAATCAAACAAGGACCTGGCTATTACATTCAAAGCAGTTAGGTCCTCATCTCCTGTGTTTGTAGATGGACGCGAATCCGACACTTGCGCCAGACAGACGTGGCTGTGTCAGGGCAGCATCTGCAGCTGGCTGTCTGTGGGGAGCTGGGGATTGCCCTGGGCTAGCTGGGAGCCAGGGTTTTGGGGCACAGATGGATGGTTGCGAGGCTGTCATGTGGCTGGGGTGGAGCCATTCAATGTGTAAGGCTCATTAGAGTCAGCTTACATATATTGTTAATATACAAGTGGTGGGTTGACCTTGGCCAGCTGTGAGATACCACCCAGCCACTCTCTCCTCTTCCTCAGCAGGATAGCGGAGAAGATAAGACAAGAAGATGAGAAGGTTCTGAGTCAAGTTAAAGACACGGAGATCACTTACCAATTACTGTCATGGGCAAAACAGACTTGGGGAAAATTAATTTAACTTACAGCCAATTAAAATGGGTTTAGATGGTGAGAAATGAAGGCAAAAACTAAAATAACAACTTCCACCAACTCCCCCTTTTTCCTAGGCTCAACATCCCTCCTTCATTCCCAATTCCCCTGCCTCTGAGCAGCACAGGGCTGGGGAACGGGGGTTGTGGTCAGCCCACAACAGCCCCTCTTTGCAGCTTCTTCCTCCCCACACCATCCCCTGCACAGGCTGCAGGGGAGACTCCGCGCTCCTCCTCCTCAGTGCTCACTGGGTGCTCCTCACACCTTTTTTCCTCTTTCTTCTCCTGTTTGGTATTTTTCCCCGTTCTGAAACGTGTTTCCCCAGATGCACAGCCAGTGGGGCTGAAGGGCTGGGCTGTGCCTGGCTGTGGGGCGCCTGGAACCGGCTGTTCCCACCCTGAGGCAGTGCCACCCTCTCTTCACAGAGCCCCTCGGCCCGCCGCAGTCCCCACAGCACCACTGCTGCACGGGTCTGTCACCAGGTGGAAGCAGGCAGGAGCGGAGTGGCTCTGGGTGGGTGCTCCAGGCTGGCCAAAGCCGGGGGCTGAGCTGTGGAAGATGGGGTGCAGCAGGCTGGGTGGAATCCCTTCCCCGAGTGCTGTGGGGCATGGGCTTGCCCCCAGGGATAGAGGTCCTTCTGCAGTGCTTACCTGCAGGCAGGAGTTGTTTTTCTGGACAGAGGTGCTGATGGTTCGTTGTGGTGTCTGTCACAGTGTTGCAGCAATGGGCTGGCAAAGGGCGTGGGGAGCGCCTCAAACACAGCGGTGGCTGTGCTTGGTCAGAATCCTGTACAGGTAATTAAAAATACCAATCGGTGACTTGTCATTCTTGTATGTAATGGACTCTATCAGTTAATACAGAAGCTGTTTCAACTATATCTGGTAATTTCTGGTTAGAATCTCTAAAAATGCCCTCAGTTTGCTAGCTCTGCAAGAGGCAGCTCATTGTGTGTACATGTTCTTCCCTGCCCTGCCTCAACCCCCAACCCCACAAAAAAAAATCGGGATAAAATCTGGGACAAATCCTTTTGTTCTGACGTGGTTTATTTCTAGCAGCCCTAAAGCTTCAGATTTACCAGCTTTGTCAAAGGGCTTGTGCAGAGGAAATCTGCACTTGCAGCGTAACACTTCGTTCTCCTCAGGATTTTGTTCCAGGGCAGTGGTACTGTTTTAACATACAGGAGAGAAGGCAGATGGGGTAACCGAGAAAAGATGCAAGACTTTGCATCTTTAAGCCAGATTTTAAGTCTCTGTTTCAACTTCAAGCAGACTTTGGGCTCACTTTCTGTGTTTGAAGCAGTTGAATAGCAAGTGTGTCTAAAGCACAGTGTTTGCAAGGTCTGTAGCGAGTGTCAGTGTTCCCAGAGGAGCCTTCAGCTTGCAAATGGGAATGCTGTTTGCAGGATATTCGGATTAGGGGTTCAGTGCAGTTGAAGGGTTTGCTAGGTTCCCTCAGTGGGTTTTGTAGTCTCCTGTATTGCTGTGGCTCACTAGTCTAAAGAGGGCTTGGCTTTATTTGTATGAACCATCGTATCGATGCAGCCTATTATAGAGTTGTGCACATCAGTCTTCTCCCAGGATTATCTTTTCCATCGACATCTTCTGTTCTCTCTTCCAAAGAAAGTTAGCAAACCGAATGACAGCAGGGATGCACCAGGGGTGGATATTGTGCATGGCAGGAGCAGTTACAATCTCAGAATTCGTCATGCTCTTCTAGAGGACACAGTATCAGCGGGGGATTACAAGCCTGTGGAGTGTGCACTGATTTCTTACTGCTTTGTTTTTCAAAGAACACTGGGGCTACTTTTAAAGAAATTATTTAGCTTTTCTTCTGTTAATGTGGCAGCCTGCTTTGTTTTTGATGCAAGATGAAAAATATGTCCTGAAGCTTTTAAAGGAGCAAAGGGAGGTTGTTAGAGCTAGAGAACATACAGTGTATGAACGAGACATTGTTGGTTGCCTTGTGCTTGTTGATTTATTGATTTTCACTAGCTTTGACTTTTTTTTTCCCTTGCATTACAGGAGCTCTGTTACTACTGTTTATATTGAAGTCCTTCCGCCCAACAACCAGAGCCCTCCCCGCTTTCCCCAGCTGATGTACAGCCTTGAAGTCACCGAGGCCATGAGAATTGGAGCTGTTTTGTTAAACCTGCAGGTACAGATGCTTCCCTGTAAGCCTTTACCACGTTCCTTCTGTTTGTGCTCATGCCATGTAGAACCCAGGCCTTGCATACATGGTGAAACGACATTTTATAGGGATCGAAAATTATTTAGTTCTAAGAAATATCTCCTTTTACATGGACCATATAGGAAATCTGCTTCCATGGATATTTCTGTAACTTTTTTTGTGTTAAATGTACTAAAAGGTACTATGGGATGCATATGGGACTGAAGTATATGAGGAAAAAAATCCATGAATGGCTCAAAACTCAAAAGGTCTGTGATTTCTTATGTTAAAATCTCTATATACATTTGTCAGCAAATCAGAGGAGCTTAGGACCTTCTGCACCCAGTTCACATGGAATTTCAGCAAGACTTTTGGCACTTCAGCTTGTTTAGCCTGTCGTTTTTGAAAAGCATCTGAAGTTATTTACTCCCCTTGGTGTATGTAAGGACTCCTGTTAACAGACTAACAAAAAGCAGAGGTCCCTGTACCACCCAGTGTAGCTCTGCAGATGCAAGCAGTGAAAGCACATCAGTCCAGTACTGTTTATAAATAATGTTGCACTGACATAGTTTGCAGACCGAGATTGCTTCTCTGTGTGCTGCTACATGGTTAATATATCAGATTTCTCCTAGCTTATTTACTGTTCCCCAAGCTTTTGCTGCATTGTGTTCTGTCCACGTGTCTTCAAAGCCATCTGTGCAAAATGGGTAGATAAATTACAACTCTCTGGATATTTTTTGGAGGGATCAGGAACTTTAATATTATGATGAAATAATTATGGCCTCAAGTCTAAAAGCAGTAAACTCAGTACAACATGCTCTCCTGAGCGTGGTTCCTGTAAACATTACAGCATTGTTCAGACTTCATACAAAGCCATTGAAAGGAAGAAGACTGGAGGCACCGGAGCTGAACAGAAACCATAGAGAGCAGCAGCCTTATCTGCTTTAAGTCAGTGCAGTTCTATTGAAGTCTGCTGAACTCAGTGGAATTAGGTCAGTTCATATTGGCTGGTGTGTGTGGCTCTGTATGTTTTGCACATTCAGTAAATGCACAGAAAAAAAATAATCCAAACCAAAGTGTGTGAGATAAAGGAACTCTAATCGAGTCACTGATGCAGGTGCATTGTAAGTTTCTATTTGCTGATGAAAGATAAAGATTATTATGGATGGTTAAGATGATATAGTCACCTGCGCTGAGGGAGGATGACTCATTTAGGTCAGTGCTGGAAATTAACTTCTGGCATGTCTTTAATGCCTGCAGTGAGCTCAGAATTGAAGAGCCATGTTATTCAGGAGCCTTCTCCTCACTGGTGGGGAGACACTTGGTTTTGGAAACCTCAAAAAGTGACAGGAGCCGGGAACATGCTGAGAAACAGAAACATTTGTGTTTACTTGACAGCTGCTGGAATATATATATGGCTGAAAGCCTGGATGATGCTTGGAGGCAGAAAAACTATTAGGAGGTTTTAGTATGTAAGGATTTTATGCAATTTAAATGTGGGTAGAAGGTGCACCTCATTGTTGGAATGTTCTGTCTGCTTTAATGTTTCACTGAACCCCAAGCATTCTACCTAGATTTTGTTTTCCTTTTCAAATGGTCTTTGGTAAGGTACACAAAGTGCATCTGGGAGAACAGCCTGGCTGGGCAGGTGAGATGCAAAATGGTCATGCCTGCTACTCTCCTCCCAGACAGGATGCTGGGGAGCATTTTGGTGATAGAGCAGCGGATGTTGTCTTGCTACGCCCCCAGGATCTCCAGAAATGATGAGTTACTGTGTTTGGGAAAGAATAGTTTTAAGAGCTTTGGAAATGCATACAAAATGTTGTCTTCTATTAATTGTTACTGCAATGTAGATTTATGTGATATTATCAATATGCTGTGAATGACTTGAATACAGCTGGACAGTTTCTGCTTATGAAAAGTAATTAATTATTAAATCACAAATACGCATGGCTTCATCTCTTGGGGAAAGGTCAAGGACTGTATCTCTTGTAGGGCTGGTGGTCTTGGACCCAAAATGCGGATCCATTGTCTTCATAGTGCAAGTTCAACTGCTTCATTTTGCATTGATACACTCATCTGTATAAAAGGACTGTCATTGTGTGAAGTATATATCTTCATCTTTTTTTATTCCCTGTGTAAATTGGTCAGGACATTTTAAACATTCATAAACTGAGTTTTGAAGCTTATAAATTCTTTTGCTGTCTTTTCCGGGCAAACAGAAAGTTACCAATCAGTAATCGTGGGGTTTTTGTGGAATTTTAACAATAGCTTAAGGTGTTGCCTGTGTTCCGTAGCTAATATCAAACATTACCAGACCTCAAATATTTACACATTTTCATGTGGAAATTTTCACACTGACTTTTTATTTCGTGAGTAGTTTTATTAATACGTTAAGTGTTTTGAACTTAAGGTATGTTTTGGTTGGTGCAGTAGGGCTAGGAGGTTATGCTTTTATGACTCTCTCCACAATATTTTGTAAGAATTGCATACAGCATGAGGATGACAAAAACTAGGAGAGGGCAAGTTATTATAAACATTGTCGAGGTAGGAAATCTGAAGATCTGCAAAGCGTCAGTGTCGATAACATTGCAAATGCAGCTATTTTAAATTTGCCTATTAGGCTTTAAAATACATGTTCAAGAAATAAAATTTACTTTCTCCTTTTCTGTAAAAATTTTTCATGCAGATGAGGGAAGCTTATATTTTTTTTCTTATACCATTGTTTATTTTATCATGTCCCCAGTTGATTGTGACCGGTGTTTTAATTAACAACATTTGAGATTAAGTAATGCAATATTGAATGACCTCCACAGTATTAATTTGTAAATAAAGCTCAGAGTTTATTGCATGCCTGGGAGGCGTTTATTGCTCCATGTTCTGCCACCCATTATTAATTAAAATATGCAAACTGTGTAATTTTTCTGTGAGTCTGCAAAACAAATAGGGCTGTTATCACAGTCCGGTTATGTGCTGAATGAGGAAGCAACATGAAATCATTGTGTACTATTTGTGAAGTCACTGTATACAATTGATCTGGAAGATAGTAGGTATAGATTGCTCTTTTCTCATGTGCAAGTCCTAAGTGTTTTTCTTACATATGTAATAACTTGCTGGTTTTTGGTTTTAAAGAAAACAAAAGCCTTTTTTAAAACAGCAATAAACTTTTCCCACTGTTTTTTTAACCATGTTGATCGAAAGGTATGTTTTCTTTGGACATGAGGAGAAAATGAAATGAACTAGAACCAGTCTTTTATTTTCTGTCTTTTTGAAAGTCTTCTGACTTGTTATGAAAGAATGTAGACCATAAACAAACCTCTGACATCCCCTTAAATGTGAAGTGAGGACAGGATCCTCTGCAGGTAAGGTGAAAAGAATACAAAGGACCACTAAAGATAGAAGCAATAATGTGATTCCAGTGATTGAGGATCTATGACAGTCCTCAGAGATGCTAGCTACTCAGATTTTCTACATCCAGTATTTATGTAGTTTTGTATTCTTGGCTAACGATTTTTCACTTTTCTCTATTGACTCTTCATATCTTCTGCGTAAGAACATTTGAATTCCACTCACACCCTCTAAGGTGCTGGCACCTCCTGTCTTTCGGTGCCATCTGTGGATTTAAGATCAGTATTGGAACACCTTTGCAGAACTTAGTCAATAGTACACACTATCCACTGCTGTCTGACCTTAATTTTTATGATCAGGTTTATTCTTAATCCCACCTTCCATTTGGAGACCATGTTGTCTAAACTTGTTTGTGATAATGTCACATAAGGTGGTGTGAAAAGCCTTACTATGGCTAAGAAGCATTATTACATCCACAGCTTTTTCCCTGTTTACAAGACCGGTTGTAAAAGAAGATTAGATTGCTTCTTGAGAAATTTAGCTTTGTGTTATCCATCTCCATATTGTCATCTCAGGTACTTACAAACAATTTGATTATTTGTGGGTTCTTGGGAATTGAGCTCTACCTGTCTGGTCTGTGATTTTCTGGCTCTTTCCTCTGTGAAAAATGTACCTTGTGTTTGCCTGTCAGCACATTTGTCCTCTGTGAGTTTTCAAAGAAAACTGCTAATGGCTTTGAGATTGATTCACCCCATGTTTTTATACAGTAGGATGAATTTCATCAGGCTTTAATGTCAGCAGATGATTTGAAGATGCTCTAGTTATGTACATATTCTCTGCCTTATTCTTTCCCTCTTCTCATCTGAGATCTTAGCCCTTCATTGCCACAGTTAATTTTGGTAGCTGCTTGATTGCAGCTGAAATGCGAGAAGTGTTAGCTCTTTTACCTTCTCAACATCATCCCTTCTGCCTTTATACTGTGTGGCAAGTCACCAAGAGGCTCCTCAAGTTTCCTCTGTAGTTTAAACATTTCTTTGTTATCTTTTATATTCTTTGCTGTTTCTCTTACACTTTTGCCTTGACTTTTTCAGACTTTGTCCCCATATAGTTGTACTTTGCTTTTTCTTTATACTGGGCCCCTTCATCTGATTTAGCTGCTATTTTCGATGTCCTTCCTTTGGTTAAGGCAAGTTGGTTTGTTACTAGATTCCCTGTTCTGACTGCACACTGGAATAGTTTGTGCTTCTGTTCTTCATCTTGGCAGGAGTGTGTGTGTGTTGTTTTTTTCTTTTCTTGTCTGAAGAACTCCTTTTTGATGGTCAGCTGAAAGATACAGAGTTCTTGAGAGTCGTCTGGAGGAAATGCTTGTGGAAAATAGATACGAAAAAGGATGGTCGTTGAAAGATGAGAAACACAAAAACACTCTCTCCTTATATTCTTTTTAATTTTGACCTGTCTGCTATTAAATCCCATCTGCCCTTCTTTGAACTTGTTGGTTAGCCTTCTTGCAATTCTCATAGCAGTGTTTTTGTTGTTTTTCCTGAGATACCATGCTTAATCACTTCACATTTTGAATGCTAAGTGGTTGCAACTGTGAGACAGCTCAGTAGACAGTATGTTCCCTGAAAAACACCTGATAGGCTTTTTGGGGAAAAGGTGTGTGTTCACTTGACAGAAAAAATAACAATTACATGGCCATTTTGGAGATAGATTAGCTGCAGCTTAACTTCAACAGTAGTTTATTCAGCTTCTGAAAAGCTGTTTTGTCATGTAGTAAGTGGAATATACTTGTTTTGGTGCCTTTCTAGAAGATCTCATCCTGATCTTCATTTCCCCCCCACCAACCAAGTTATCATGGAGGTTGAGTGCTGCAGTTTATACGCTGCTCAGTGGAGCATCAGCAAAGGGATTGGGATTCTGGTAAACTAGTAGAAAGAAGAATCTGGGTAAGAAGTGGGAATGACGAATGTGAACAAGGGAAACAAAAAGTTCAGTCTAATCAGTCTGTAGCTGCATGAAAATAAAGAATAAAGCCTGAATTTCATACTTGCGATGCTGTGTGTCTATGTGTAGTAGTAATTTGAAAGTCTGTGTTCAGGATATTGTTGTTGCTCTGTAGGATAAGAACTCTGACGTGCTACAGCTTTATTTTAAGTAGCTCTTCTGTAATTACCATTGTTGCCTTAGAAATAGAGAGGTTAGCATCATTCCTGTAAGTAACTTTAATAGAACTTCAGGGGTTAATTTTGCAGTTTATAAATTGAAGGAAAGAAGAGAAGGCTTTGTAACTGACTTCATTTTATCCTCTTTTTTCCTAAAGGCTTTTGATAGAGAGGGTGACCCTATAAGATACCTCATTCAGAATGGAGATCCTCAACAAGTTTTTAATCTCTCTCAAAGGTAAGTGGAAAACCCTTAGAAAACAGACTTGTAACTTTTCAGTCAAGTGACTATGTGGGCTGAGAGCAAAAGAAAAGACTTGTAATCAGACATACTCAGCTGTTCCCTAGATTGGCTCTTAGACATTAATGAGAGCTCTGTGAATGATATTGCACTCTGGAATTTTTCACAGGGGGCTATTTATTTATTTTAAACACTTCAGTAGGTAAAACTCACTGAGGTGGAAACATTCTATTTAAAAGAGTGACCAGGGATTAATTAAAAACCTTATACTTGTCAGCTCTTGAATAATGACAGGGACAATTTTTGCTTTACTTTCCCTGCCTTCAAGCATTTTAGTCTGTACTGGAAGGTCTTTTGAGGATTGCTTTCAAATCTCTTTTCCTTCAATTGACTACCAACTTAAATTGAGTTAGGAAGAGAGGGTACCTTACAAAACTATAGGTAGAAGGTAAGTCTGTGCCTGTCCCACCACCACCTCCTTTATTTTACCTAAGCAGCTATTGTTTACACTCCAAAATATCTTCTTTGCAGGAAGAAGGAGGAGGGTGGTGAGCTGATTTGCTATGGTAGATGATGGGACAAAAGTAACCTGCGGCTTATTTGTTCATGGTGCAGGTGCAATTGCAAAAAAAAAGTTCTAATTTGATGTGAGGGAGAGATTGTACTGAAACAGGTCTGTATATTCTGAGTACGCTCTAGGTTACTCGCTGTGATAAATTTCCCATATATGGAGAATCAGGTCACTTACGAAACAACATGAAAGAAATTCTTGAGGATCCCAAGAGATGCTGATACTGTCGTCCACCAAGATTGATGGGCCCTCTGAATATAAAGGCTTATCAGGAGAGGAGAGGAACAGCTTAGAGAGAAGAGACTGTTTCATCGACATGGCAAGAGCAGTAAACGATGTTGGGCTGCTGGTTTTAGCCATTGCTTAGGGATGGAGTTTTCAGTGCAAGTCAGGGAAGGTGTGCTCAGAGGGAGTGCTGGGAGTCATAGCTCCAGCACAGCGCAGATTTGTGGGGTCTACCTCACAAAAGATGCTAGCGTTCCTCCCCTTAACATAGAAAAACTCGGTCTGACCTACTCTGTGACCTTCAGAACTTCAGTAATGAGGAGTGTGCCTGGCTGCATGAGAGGTGCTCCAAAGGGGGGTTACTCAGTGGGTGGTAGTTTTGTATAGTTTGTGCTTATCGCAGTGCTGTTCACATCGCACCATAAAAATCCTGATAGTTCTCCATAGTAGAGAGACTTAAAAAATGTGTATACATTCAGGCCAAGTCTGTCTTGCCAGACCCGTGCCATGAGGGTATTCTAGAAGTCAGATCCTAGGCAGCTCCTGTAAACAGTGTGACGATACTCAGAAGTCAAGCTGTTAAAGGTAGCATGTGAATTCACTGCTGTGAATTCAGTCTGAAAATAAATAAGAAATCACTGGTGTGCGCTCTGAAGGCTGTGGGCATAGGGCACCCCTATGTGTCCATGGGAAGCGTTGCAGGTGTCACGTCCCCAGGGCCTGTCAGGGGTGGCTGGGAGTCCCCCAACACACCCCTCAGCCTCACATCTGCCCTGTGTGTGTCTGAGCATCATGCGACATTGAGGGTTTCAGCAAAAACTCGGGCCTGACTTTGTCTTTTTGATCTATTCCCTCTTGGTAAAAAGAAGAGGTCTTTGAAGTGTTTTCTCCTTCCTGCTCTCCTTGCATCTGTGGTTTTTTTTTTGGAAATTGTTTGTGCAAAGTTTTCTTCAGCCTTTCGCATATTTTTCTTAGATGCTGAAATGTCTTGATAAAAGATTAAAGTAGGTTTAATATTAAGCAAAGCATATAGTTAATGTGAATGGCATATTAAGGCTAAGGAATTTATCTCAATGCTACATAAATACATTTTTAGATACTTTAAGGCCAAGGCAGAGGCCATGGATATGATTCTCTCTTCCTTTTTCTCATCTGGATTATTTTTCTTGCTTTCTGGAGGATGTCAGTTAATCCCTGTGTAATTCCCTAACTGGCAGCATGAGTACTGAATATGACCGGTTTTACACCTACCTACTAGGTCTCTTTTATCCTCAGTGTGAGGACTGTGAGATGGTTTTGTTCTTTAGCAATACAACCTGAGCGTGATCTGGAGTAATTCTGTACCTCCTGATGTTCCCCAGGGAAAGCGACAAATAAAAGCTGGGGTATTAAATGAATGCGAGTACATCTGACTTCTTGAGTAAAATGTGTAAGGTTTATAAATTAGCCTGTCTCTGGAATGATGTTCATCTATTGAAATGGAGACCGTAGATGGCAGTTGTTCAAGCAGTAGGAAGGAAGAGGTGGTAAATAAAGGTGATATGATAGTGCAAAAACACTGACATTTAAATGGAGACATGCAGCTAAAGGTCAGTGTTAGTAAAGCAGTTTGTTGTCAGTATTTTGTGCTTAGCTGTACTTTGTCTATTTTTTTTTTTTGTGAATTAATACTTTACCACATAAGTGGTTTATGTTTTATTCACTGTTTCTTTCCTAAAAATATATTCCAAACATATTTTATTGCAGTGTCTTGAACAAATGCTGAAAAACATATATGATCTATTATGATAACGAATGGATTTGCAGGAACACCTGGAAATAAGAGAATTGTTAAAATAAAGAGCATGGTTTAGCCTTTCATATCATTTAATAATACATCTGACTTTCCTACAGCCCTCAAAGGACATTAATGTCATTTCTCAGTAGCGTCGCTACTGTTTCAATATCTCTATTTATAAATTATAAAAAAGTTAAGTTTAAAAGTTAAATGGTCTTTAGTAATATAACAATAACATTAACTGAGCTCAGCTGAATATTCTGTAGCAGAAGACAGTACATGAGACCAGAATGAAATAGGAGATACACGGTGTTATTGTCACACACGAGTTGCAGGATAGGTTGCTGGAAATTCCACCACTTTTACACTCATTGCCTTCATGTGGGCCATGCATGTATGCAAAACTAAGAACTTACTGTTAAGTTTAATGACAGTCTTAATAGTCTAATTAGTAGTCCAGTTATGACACTAATCCAAATAGCTAAAATTTCAAATATGCGTATGTTTTAGTTTGTGTATATATGCAAATAGATAATATGTTGTCTTCAGTCAGGGCCACCACCACATGGTCGCTCCCTCCCCTCCCCCGCCCGCCTTTCCCCCTCCCAGTAAGCTGGGAAAGGATTAAAAAAAAAAAAAAAAGGTGGAACCTCGTGAGGGGAGGCGATGACAGATTTTAGTAATACAACAAGAGAAAAAGGAGAATATAATAATAAGATATCGAATACAATGAAAACAGTGATACAATGGAAACCTTCCCACCACCAAGAGCTTCCCCTTATAACCCAGGCATGATGTCAGCATGGTATCGAATATCCCTTTGGCTATGCCCACCTCTGAGCTTCCCTGAAAAATTAACCCTAACCCAGCTGAACCCAGGACATATGTATAATGTAATTTTTATATATATGTAATTTTAACATTTGTATGTGTATATAAATATATACACAAGCTTTCTAAGGTCTGTCCCTTGATCTAGTGTTACACTTTACCCTTCCGTGTTCCTTTTGGGCCCCCAGGGCAATAATTTCCTCTGGTGCAGGGATCAATGCTGAGTCTTCAGCATGTGAAGTCCTGCCCTGGGAGGAGGAGTGTGACGCTGACGGTTTCATTCTTCTTGCTCTAGGATCCATTTTGAGTCATTTTATGTTTGTTAACACACTCTGTACCAGGCTTGTTTTCCCCTACTGTGTGCAAGCCTCTCTTAAATCTGAACTTGCTGCATGTGGAATGTTTTAGATAGGTGGATACTTGTTTATTGTTCTCGTTGTGACCCCAAACTGGTTTTAGACAGCTCCTAAGGTTGTGTTTCTTTGTCAGTACTAGGCTGCTGGTGAGGTGTTTGTAGCCCAGGGGCTCTGTTTTATTTACAAAAAATATATATAAAAATAGGCATCAAGCTACAAAATTGTAGAAAAGTAAGCAAAAGCTAAAACAACATTGGTATCGGGTACCTGCTCTTTAGCTAATTGCTGTTTAAAGCTAAAACCAACCTCTGAGCAGGCAAATGCAAGTCCATGTAAAGAAACACGACAGGTCCCGAGGCCCTGTTGTAGCTTGGCACAAAGCTTGCACCTTGAGACAAGCCATGTCAGCTCTATGTTTACTTATTTACAAAGCTGTACACTATATCTGTGTGTCTCACTCGTTTTTACTAACCTCCAGAAAAGTATTTTAGGTACAAGGAAGTTGACAAATTTTCTTTTTTTGAGGAAGCTAAACATGGCACACACCTGTGTTTTAGTTGTGTAGCAATGACGCAGGTTGAACGTAGCATGTCCTGAAATATTCTTTTCTTTGATTACTGACCTTGGCTGTTATTTTGCCTATCAACCTTTCAGTTCTAGGGCAGAGTTATGCTCCCACTCACTGTTTTCAGCTATTTTTGTAGTATTTATTTGCTTGCAGTAACAGCTTGCCAGTAAGTGTTGGTATTTGTCTCTGCTGAAAACAATATCGGAAAAAGTCTTGGCCTGGAACCAGTTTGCTGAAGTCTTCTGAGAGTAAGAAGTTACAACAGAAACTCTGCAGAAATGTATAGTCTAGGGAAAAATGTCATTAGGTACAGATGATATAAATCCAAGAGTTCTGTAGAAGTACAGCAAATCAGACCTATAGTTTGGTGGGACTTTTTGGGTTGGTTTGGTTTTGAATTTTTAGTAAAACGTCTCTCAGAACAAGCAGCTGTTTAGGTTCTAGGTCATGAACATAAAATGTAGGTTCAGCCAGTAAAATTTGTAGCTGTACCTGACACATGGAAAGTCACAGCATACCATGATCCCAGCACTGCAAAAATGATGTGGTGTTACACTTTTCTTAAAATGTTACAGGCCAAGGGTGACATGTTTTGTGGAGTTTCATGGGAGACACTGCTTAGCCATGCAACAGGAGGATAAATGTCACCCTGGATCCATGTTTGTTGGTACATATTTGTTAAATAGCCTATGGATTGGGTGGCATTTAAGAGGGGTATCAATTTGTTATGTACTTGACCAGGTTTAGACACCAAAGTCCTGGAAATGAAATGCAGAGTGTTAAAGCTGGTCACAGAGGTACCACTTGTGCCAGTCCAGTTAAGCAGAGTTGAGCTTCCTTGGGCAGGGTTCTCAACTCAATGGTACTTTTCTGATGCTTCCTAATATAAAAGTAGCGAGTCTGTGGTGGGATCTTGTCTCTGTGTTGTTACAGCACACCTCCAGGTGGCTTCCAGACGTCTGCATGAGGAAATTGGATCATCCTAGAGATAAAATCTCGGTTGTCACCAGTTATAGGAATTTGCTGTGCTTTCAAACAGCCTTTTTGTAAAATTTGTTGTCTTTTTTGTGTATGTGGCTTCCAAATAGCCTTTCATTCCTTGTGTTTTTAAAATGAGCATCAATAATCACAATATCCTGATCAATTTTCTGCAACATTTATGCCTATAATAATATTTTATTATTAGGGAATATGGTATATCTGTGCTTGCACTGAAAGGGTATTAGTTCATTGCAGCACTTTTACTGCAGTTACATAACATGCAAGTTAGCAGCCTTTCCCTGTAAAACTCTGAGGAGACTCAGACTTCAGACCATGCATGTTGTATTCCCAGAGTTTACTGCTACAATCCTGTCAGGGGTGTCAGGACTCTTCTTTCATTAATAGAATGCCTGTGATTCTCTCTTCTCATTTATTACAGCACTGCAGCTTTTTAACAAATGAGGGCCCTGTGTTCAGTGGAGGTCTTTTTGTATAATCCTGTAGATCACTAGATTGTTATTTTAATTCTAAATTACGGATGTATTGAAGCAGAAAGCATTAGAAATTGGCTCATTGTTTTTATTAGCCTTTACCTACACAAAACATGCTTTCAGTTGTAATAAATCCTAAACGCTTACTAACTTGCTCAAAGGGAAACATTTGTGCAACACAAAATAGTGGAACAGACGTGTTTGTGGATATCTTAAAACTGTTGTGGTAACATTTTATGTTTTTGTTTTATTAATAGTTCCGGACTGCTAGCCTTAGGAAAGCCCTTGGACAGAGAAAGCACTGATCGCTATATTCTGATTGTTACAGCCTCGGATGGCAGACCAGATGGGGTGAGTTTCCTCAATGAGCTGTTACTATATGTATTTAGGCACTTGAAGTAGTCTAATTATAATAGCTTTTATATACGTCTTGATGAAATCTGTCTGTAATCTGCAACAATTTTCTTTATCTCAAAAAGATTTGTGGAGGTAAAGCCTGTGTGTCACTTGGGTAATGTCCTTTGATCTTGAAACAAAGTGACTTTGCTGTTACTTCTGCCTTTTTTTTATTCCTCAACAAGAACCAGTGCAGTCAAGGGTTTGCATTACTCAGATATGTGCATCTTCTTACTATTTCTTCTCCCTGCTATTAAACAACCAGCATTCCTTCTTGCCTTCTCTTGAAGATCAGTTATATGGGCAGCTGTATTATACATCTAGTCCAATGCATTGAACTTTTTCCAGAATTCACAGATGAAAGCTTCAGCTTCAGTTATTTTAAGCTCTCAGGATAAATCTGGAAAAGTGCTCATGCCACTTCTCTTAAAAAGTAAACCTTTATTATCAGGAGTTTTTTCTAAGTCTTCTGTGTTTACATTGATCAGGCATGCAGTGAGCCTGCAATCGGTTTAAACCAACAAACTACTGCACACATTTGTATTTAGTATAACAAAACTGTGATTTTCAGTTTCCATATTAAAAGATGGAGGGGTATTCAAGGAGATGTATTTATTTGTCAAGCAAACAGAATGGAATTAGTTTTTCTAGAAGTTTGCAGCAATCCCAATGGGGAATTTGCTGCAGCTGGATTGTGCAAGGTACATGGGAGTGCAGCAGTTCTGCTGTGGACTTGTGCATGGAGAAGTCTCTGTGTATCTGACCTTCAAATTACAATGTATAAAGACAGATCTGAAATAATAAATCCACATTATCTGGGCTATTCTAGGAGGCGGCGTTCAGCTTTGAGATTGAAACAGAGAAATATTTTTTCAGTTTTTCAGTTCACCAAAAGTAAACTGTGGAGTGCTTAATTAGTATTGTCTCTGAACTGTGCTGATGTAAGGTTGGCTACCTCTTGCAGCAGAGGTCATTGATATCAGGTCTGTGAGCAGTTCAGTAACCAGGCTGGAGCAAGTAGCAGCCATGCTGTTGCGGAGTGGACTGTCATTTTGTTCTTCATGCATTGCTTAGCCCAGTGAAGACAGACCTAGAGGTTCCTAGAGGTGTGGTGATACAAATAAGAACAGTAGCATTCTCAAAAGTGCTTGGAGTAGCATGCAAATTTAAAGCATTGTTATAGTGGGACTTTTTTTTTTTTTTTTTTTTTAGAGCAAATATCAGGAGTATCCGACAAGGAAACCAAATAATTAGAGTTCAAAGAACTGTTGTAACATCAGTGAAGGGTATTTGTGGTTTCCTAATGCTGGCATAGAAGTAATAATTTCTCAATAACCTTAACAGTTCTTACTAGTTCAGCAGTTGCTTGACGAGCATAAAGACGAGCAAAACAGCAGTGGGTCGCTTTGACTCTGGTATGAGTGCTTGATGGATGGTGTTGTTATGTTGGTGCCATAACAACAACATATCTTTAGAAATCCACTCCCCTGCTATCTCATTATCTGCTTGCCTCCCTCAGTATTATAAGTTTTTTTCCTGGAGTTTTGTATCTGCAGGTGTGTGTGTTAATTGTTCTCACAGTGAAATATGGTCACGCTTTCTAGCTTGTGTGTGTTCTCTTTACTGCTGCTTGGTTTGGGGGCTCCATTACTCTCTCTTACCTGCCTGTGGGTGTATTCTTTTGTGATGATACTTTCTGCCAGTGGGAGGTCACTTTTCTTCTTAAAATTGTCCAGCAATATGGCTTACTGGACAAGTTGACTCCTCTTGCACCCTAAGCTTCTGGTCTCAATGCATGAAATGACAGCGTTAGGAGTTGGCTGGGCTTGCCAATATCACAAACTAGACTGTATACGTTCCTTGTTTTTTAATTTGCAAACACACAGATGAAACAGGGCACCTCAGCCCATTAGATCTCCATGCCTTTTCGATGACAGGAAACAGTGCTTTTGACTAATTTATCAGGCTTCCTTGTGTCTTTGTCCAATTTCTTTGATTTGCAGCTCTTTTGGATTTGCTCTCTGCTATTTGACAGACTCTTCCTGGGTCAGGGACTCATTTAAAGTTGCTAGCAGGTAACGTGGCAAAGTGTTCTAAGGACATGGATGCTTGGTTCAACAAGTCAGTGAAATTTCATGGAGGACCTTTTCTTTTTAACTAGTTTATATCAGAAAGCAATGATGTCTCTAGGAAAAAAAAAAAAAATCCTACAATTACAAAACTACTGCTTTCCAAACTAATACACCTGCTGCTTCTCATCAAGGTTTGCTTTTTTGGAGAATTCTATTAGTGCTTACAGAAAACGGATTATCCAATTGAAGAACTTGTTTCAGTCTTCCTGAAATCACAAAGTGAATTCCACAGGCAGGTGCAACTTAATTTAAATGACATTAACATGTTTTAGCTAGTAGGATATAAAAACTGATTTCCTTCCATCCAGCAGCGGGCTGTTTGAAACTACCCATTAGTGTCAAATATACTTAGAGTAAGCTTTTGTACTCTATACAACCTTCTCTGTATTTACTTGTTTCTTTAAAATTTGAAAGGAATTTAAAAATAAAAGACTTTATTAGTAGGTTTTGGGGTTTTTTGGTGGTGATGGTGTTTGTTTTTTTTTTTAACTAGAACTTTCCTCTTCAGTTACAACATGAAAATCTGGCATTCATCCATTTTTGTCGTTAGATTTCATGAACAACAGTGACAGGATCACAGGATAATTCAGGTTGCATGGGATCTCAAGAGGTGGTATAGTTTGAGCCTGTTCCTCGAGTTCGGTCAGCTCTGGTTGCACTGACAATTCAACTGTGGAGCAGGTTATTTAATTCATAGCCTTCCAGTATAGAGGTGCATAAAAAGCCATGTTAGTACCCTTACATAGTGGAAAAAAGAAAACATTGTTATTGGTGTTTCATACTTAGCTGAGAAAGTTCAGTCTTTGTAATTCCAGCCAGTGAATTTCCTTCAGCAATTCTGAACAGTACTCAAGATATTTCAATGTTGACAATATTTTTCAGCTAACTTCTGTTGTGAACAAAGATTTTTAGCCATTATAACATAGGTTTCAAAGGGACATAACTTAGTCTCATTTAATTTTTAAATAATAATGTATAAAATACTGCATTTTAGTTGGAATACTTCAGATGGGAAATGTTGCTATGCTTTGAATTTGTTGAAGCTTTCAGAAAGAAATTTATCCTGCGCTGCTTTAAAAGTTTTCTGCCTCGAGGTGATGACTCTCTTGTCTGTTTAACATTCTTCTCATAAAACTGGGAATGTTTTACTCTGTAGAGATAAGTAAGGCTCATTAGGTGGGTGAAGCCTGTATGTCAGGATTGAGTCAGCAGTCTCTGGGATCGGCTCACCTGAAGCAGACAGAAAGAAAGGGACAGAAAAATTAATCATCTTTCCTACCATTAACACTGGTCCAGTTCACACACCGATTGCCATCTCCAGCAGTTGTCTTTGGCCCAGGGAGGCATGCCAAAATAGATCTTTTTTTTTTCTACTTCTGGTATCTCCAGGAGTTTGGGGGCTCAGCACGTGGAGCAGCACGACACTTCCCACACAGGATCACACTGTTGTTTGGGGTGCGGCAGAGCCAGCACCAGTGTCCTGGGAGCAACTTTTCCTCTGGGTGCATAATCATGGTGGCATGAGTCATAACTTTTCTAAACACACAAGTTACTGGATTCCTGATATTCTAGGGACTGAAACTCTTCCCCCCACAGCAGCAACCAAGCCGGGCCAGGACTGTGTGCCCTGCCCGCTCCACTGTGCTGTAAACCCCGTGGAATAGCAGTGGACTAGTACCCAGTGCACAATGTGGCATCGGCCCTCCTTTTTATCCCTGATGTTCTTGAGAGAAAACTCACTGTTCCCCATTGTCACCTATGAAGTCTGTTGAACACATTTTTGCATTTGAAAAGCCTATGGTCCTGCACACCTTAACTTTTTGGTCCTTTAATACTGGTTTTTTTCCTGCTCCTTTTTCTGTGTCATTAATAAAGGGTTTAAGAGACTTTTAACAATGTTGCTGTGGCACTAAGTAGTTGAAGTTTCTGTATTCTAAGCCCCAAGGCTTAGTTAGCTGCCTAATGTTGTGTGGTGACAGTCATGTTGACACCTTTTGACTTCTGGGGACTGCTTATTCCATCAGAATTAGTACAGACCTATTTATGCCTTCACACAGCAATACAGCTTTCCATTTAGTGGTGTGGCCTGGCTGACACCGTTTCATTGATTTTGCATGCCTTATAATGCTCTTGATTGTTTAAAATGCTTGACCATGCTTCCCAAGTGCTTCGCAAGTTGTTATTGTTCAGAGGTTATGACCTGGAGCATTAACAGCCTTGTGGTTTTTCTTTGACCTTGGAATAAGATGATCTGCCACCCATCAGTGTTAACAATACGACACAACAAATATTTAAGTATGCATTAATTGAGCAGTCAGGAAGATATTTAAAAAAACGAGGCTTAGTTGTAGATGGGCAGAAGAATGATGCATGAATGAAAAAATATATCAAGCTCAAAATGTTTTCACAAATTGGGGTGTGTTTGGATAGGTTTTCAAGGGAAGACTTCGTGTCTTTACATTTCAGAGGGACAAGTTAGAAATAAATCTGCACAACTTTTGTTAGAAGAAAGAAAAAGCCTCTGTGCTATTTAATTTTTTGTGTATGTGAGTGCGTATGTGTCAATTCATTTCTATAGATAGAACAATTGTATCATTTTAGTGTGTATTGTGTGATTTAAGCAGAATTCGAACCTCCAAATAATACAAAGTTGTGAAAATATTCACCTAGAACTTCAGAAATGTGTTTCTGCCCAAGTCTTGGCAAAACAGAGCAGCTCAGTGCCTAGTTGACAAAGCCATTTGGGAGCTGGTAAATAGGTATTAAAAATTGTCAGTCATCCGGGGGATGTTCTTAACCCTCCAGGCAGCTACAGCAGTCCTT